CTTGCAAGCCCCACTGCACCCAGCTGCTGGCAGCCTCTCTAGCTTGGGCTCTCTAGTTCCTGCTGGCATGACAGAGGGAGGATTTCCCGATCCCGATCCCTGCCTTCAAGAGTCTGCTGAGTCCCACAAAACAAGCATGGTGCCTGAAGGGGGGCTGGTGTTCCTCTGCTATTTCCAAGTGGCTGCCTCCAGGATAGACAAGGGCACCCTTAGGGTAGGAAACTGGTTGTACTAGGAAACTGGTGCCTCGTGCTCGATGGCAGCCGGGGTGGCGGTGAGGACACGGGGACAGTTTTTTAGAGAAGTGATTTTATAATCTTCAGCAACACACTCATGAAAATATTTTAAAGGGGATTTTAAATTAAGGCCCCGTTGACTGACGCAGTAAATTCTGAAACTGACCGTATTGACCTGGGGTTGGCGCATGCCTGTTCAGTGACTACTCTGCCACTTGAATGGCTCTTTCATAGGTTCAGCGTCTGCTAATAGCACTGGCCGGCTTTGTCACTGTTAAGTTCTCTAGCTCCTCTGCAGAGGAGGCGGAGGCACAGACCAGGGACAGGAAGAGGCAGGCGGGCGGACATTAAGACCCAGCGGTGCCCCAAATTTTTGGGTGCCCTATGCTGCTGCATATTCTGTGTATGGGGAAGGACAGTTCTGAGGCTACGGCTATGCCCACACTACCAGGTTTTTGCGCAAAAACTGGCGGAGTGTCCACACCTCAAACGCATTTTTGCACACACAAAAAAAGAGAGTAAATCGACAGGACAGAGGGATGTTGCCGGTAAAGTTATTCTACTCCCCATGAAGAATACAGCCTCTCCCCGAGTTCTGAATGAGTTATGGACCAAACACTTGGCCGTAACTTGATCTGTTCATAACTTGGACCCTGTTGAGTTACATAGCGATCGCGCTGTTCGTAAGCGCGGGTCGTGTTCGTAACTCGGGGACCGCCTTTATGATTGCTCCATGGGAGCGTTGGTCATAAATGCGAACGGTCGTAATTCGACCATTTGCAACTTGGGGACCGGCTGTAACTCCTTTTTGCGCTACAGCTCTTGCCCAAAAAGGCCGGTGCGGACGCTCCGGAGGGGTTTCTTGCGCCAAAAGAGCCTATCCGAAAAAGCACAGGTGCTCTGATGGCCGTTCTGTTAATGACAATCAGAAGTTTCTTGCGCAAGAGAGTCCATGCAGTGTGGACGCTCTCTTGCACAAAAGCGCTTTTGAGGTGTGGACGCATTTTTGCACAAGAAATTTTTGCGGGAGATCGCTTCTTTCGCAAAAACCCTGCAGTGTAGACAGCCTGAGGCTGCTAACCCTCCAGGACTGTCTAAGAGGTGACGCTTGGCAATCGCGACCATAATATCATTTAATTTAACAACCCCATGGAAGGAAAAATACCACTGCAGCCCAACACTGCGGCATTTAATTTCAGAAAGGGGAACTACACACAAATGAGGCGGTTAGCTAAACAGAAATGAAAAGGTACAGGGCCAACAGTGAAATCCCTGAAGGCTGCATGGGCATTTCTTAAAAACACTATAACAGAGGCTCCACTGATGTCCCTAATTAAAACTCACACAAATAAAATCTAAAAAGCGCCACCCTGGCGAAACAACAACATAAAAGAAGCTTGGAGAGGCAAAAAGGCAGGAGGGGAAGTTAAACCCTAATGAGGGAAATAGAAAGGAGCATAAACTCTGGCAAATGAACTGTAAAAACATGATGAGGAAGGCCAAAAAAGAATGTGAAGAACAGCTAGCTCCAAACTGAAAAAGCAAGAGTAACATTTTATGCTAAGTCCGTTAAGAAGCAGGGAATTGACGTGCCTTTACCTGTGGTTCCGGTGGTGCCCACGTTTTTGGGTGCCCTACGCAGCCGTGTTATTTGTCTCTGCGTAGGAATGGCCCTGGAAGGGAGGAAGATCCCCATCCCTCCACCATCCTTTTTAGGTGACAAATCTGTGGGCCTGCCCTAGATTGAGGATGTTTTGGAACAAACTGAGAAATTCAACAGGAATAAATCACCAGGGCCAGATAACATTCACCCAAGCGTTCGGAAGGCACTCAAATACAAACTGACGGAACTACTAACAGGGGTCTGTAACCTACTGTTTAAATCTGCTTCTGTACCAAGTGACTGGAAGATCGTTAATGTGATGCTGATTTTTAAAAAGGGCTCCATAGGAGAGCCATGCAATTGCAGGTTTCTTACCAGGGAAATTGGTTGAAACTATGATGAAGAATAATATTGGCGGACACCTAGATGATCATAATCTGTTGGGGAAGAGTCAATATAGTTTCTGTAAAGGGAAAGCTTCCTAACCAATCTACTAGAATTCTTTGAGGGGGTCAACAAGCATGTGGACAAAGGGGGATCCAGTGAAACTTCAACTTCTGACCACCTGAGTTACAACATTTTTGTATCAGAGGGGTCGCCGTGTTAGTCTGAATCTGCAAAAGCGGCGAGGAGTCCTGTGGCACCTTGGGGTGTCCAGACTCAGGGGTTTTTTCGAAAAAAAGTAGCCTTTTTTCGAAAAAACTTCACCTGCGTCTAGACTGCAGCCGTGTCCTTTCGAAATTAAATCGAAAGAACGCGGCTTTTCTTTCGACGGTGGTAAACCTCATTTCACAAGGAAGAACGCCTTCTTTCGAAAGTGCTCTTTCGAAAGAAGGCGTTCTTGAATGTAACTAGGGCTTCTTCGAAAGAGAGCATCCAGACTCACTGGGTGCTTTCTTTCGAAAAAGCGGCTTGCTTTTTCGAAAGTTCCGCGTGCAGTCTAGACGCTCTCTTTCGAAAGAGGGCAAAGACCCACTTCGTCAGATGCATGTAGTGGAAATTTCCAGAGGCAGGAATAAATATGCAGGCCAGGATCAGGCTGGAGATGACCAGGTGGATCCAATCAAGGAGGATGAGGCCCACTTCTAGCAGCTGATCTGGAGGTGTGAATTCCAAGAGAATAGAAGCTGCTTTTGTAGTTAGCAAGCCATTCACAGTCTTTGTTTAATCCAGAGTTGATTGTGTCAAACTTAAAGATGAACTGTAGCTCAGCAGTTTCTCTTTGAAGTCTGGTCCTGAAGTTTTTTTGCTGCAGGATGGCTACTTTTAGATCTGCAATTGTGTGTCCAGGAAGATTGAAGTGTTCCCCTACAGGTTTTTGTATGTTGCCATTCCTAATATCAGATTTGTGTCCATTGATTCTTTTACGTAGGGACTGTCCTGTTTGGCCGATGTATATAGCAGTGGGGCATTGTTGGCACATGATGGCATATATTACGTTGGTGGATGTGCAGGAGAATGTACCAGTGACAGTATGGCTGGTCTGGTTAGGTCCTGTGATGGTGTTGCTGGTGTATATATGTGGGCAGAGTTGGCACCGAGGTTTGTTGCAAGGATTGGTTCCTGAGTTCGAGTTATTATGGTGCGGTGTGTAGTTGCTGGTGAGAATATGCTTCAGGTTGGCGGGTTGTCTGTGGGCAAGGACCGGCCTACCTCCCAAGGCCTGTGAGAGCGAGGGGTCATTGTCCAGGATGGGCTGAAGATCACTAATGATGCGTTGGAGAGGTTTTAGCTGGGGACTGTAGGTGATGGCCAGTGGTGTTCTGTTGGTTTCTTTCTTGGGCTTGTCCTGTAGCAGGAGGCTTCTGGGTACACGTCTGGCTCTGTCAATCTGTCTCCTCACTTCCTCGTGTGGGTATCGCAGTTTACAGAATGCTTGTTGAAGGTCTTGTAGGTGTAGGTCTCTGTCTGAGGGGTTGGAGCATATGCGGTTGTACCTCAGTGCTTGGCTGTAAACAATGGATCGTGTGGTGTGTCCGGGATGGAAACTGGAGGCATGCAGGTAAGTATAGTGGTCGGTAGGTTTTCGGTATAGGGTGGTATTGATATGACCGTCACTTATTTGTATCGTGGTGTCCAGGAAATTTTTGTAAGTGCAGAAGGGGCCCTGACATACGTCCTCGGCCTGCATTTACAATGGCGCACGGTGCCTATCGTAAATGAGGGTTCAAGTTATGATGCCCCCAACTTGCGACACTTCCCCAGGAACCAACCACATCGTACACTGGGGGCCGCCTGTACTTAGATTTCCAGAAAGCCCCTCCATAAAGGGATTTCACTCTTGGCCTTGTACCTTGTAATTTCTGTGTAACTAACTGCCCCATTTGTGTGTAGTTCCCCTTTCTGAAATTTCCAGACAAGGCCCCTCACCAAAGACTCTTAAGCAAAGTATGTTGTCATGGATACGAGGGAAGGGCTCTCACGGACTGGTTACTGGTTAAAAGACAGGAAACAAAGGGTAGGAAGAAATGGTCAGTTTTCAGACTAGAGAGCGGTAAAATGTGAGGTTCCTCAGGGTTTGTTCTGGGACCAATCCTATTCAACATATTCATAAATGATCTGGGAAAAGGGGTAAACGGTGAGGTGGCAAAATTTTCAGATGATACAAAAGTGCTCAAGATAGTCCAGCGCCAGGCAGACTGCGAAGAGCTACACCAGGATCTCTCAGAGCTGGGTGACTGGCCAACGGCAGACGGCAGACGAAATGTAATGTTGATCAACGCAAAGAAATGCACATTGGAAAACATAATCCCAACGATACATAATCCCACGCTGTTACCACTCAAGAAAGAAAAAACAGCAGATGAAATGAAATGTTGATCAACGCAAAGCAATGCACATTGGAAAACATAATCCCAACGATACATAATCCCACGCTGTTACCACTCAAGAAAGAAATCTTGGAGTTGTTTTCTGAAAACAGCCACTCATTGTGTAGTGGCAGTCCAAAAAGCAAACAGAACGTTGCACTTCCTCCGTAAACAGGGGTAGCCCAGCAACTTGGGGACAGTGTGTACCCTCCGCAGCTGTAGGGCCATAATGGTACCGGGGTTTGCAGAGCAACTGCCTGTAATCCAGCGATGGGCCATTCAGCCTAGTGCGTGGGCTGCAGGAGTGGCCCTCCTCCGTCTCAGTGGGCTGCAAGGTCGTGACCAAGATGGCCTTCCGGGATAGGGCAGCTTTGCTCACTGCTCTGGTGTTTCTATAACTCGTGGGGGGAGCCGACGGAGCCGGAGCAGCGCTGGGATTGGCTGCAGAGGGAGCGCGCGGCTCTCACAGTGCGTGTGCAATCCGAACGCCCCTTGTGTCACGTGTCCTGGCTTTACGTGCGATCACTTTTGCAATGTTGGTAGGAAAAAACCCCCACGTGGACAGAAACCAGCCGAATCCGGCACCCGTGCATGTGAGCAACGGTAAACAAAATGTCTCATGGGCCAGCCATAGAATCCTGATAGGCCACGTGCTATCTGTCTGTCTGCCCAGCTGTCTGTCCCCACACTCTATCTAGCTATGGATTTTACCCTGCTGCCCAGTGCCTTCTGCATACAATCACTAGTAAAGTCTCTCATAGAGATGTAGCCGTGTTAGTCTGGTCTTGCTGAAACAAAAGACAGGGCTATGCAGCACTTTAAAGACCAGCAAGATGGTTTATGAGGGGATGAGCTTTCGTGGGCCAGACCCGCTTCCACGGATCAAATTGTGGAAGACAATTGGCACGACCATAGATACCAAAGGGATACAATAAAAAAACCGTGAACACATATAAAATAGACAAATCAGATTTTAGAATGGGGGTGCGTGTGTGAGGGGGAGGTTAGTGTCTATGAGATAATGATATTAGGGGTGATAATTGGGGAAGTTGCAGACTTTGTGGAGTCTCTGAGCCTTCAGGTTAACTTGACCTGCACCAACCTAACAGAAAGTCTGAATGAAAAGCGCCATTGGTATTTCTTGCCCAGCATGTGTGTTCAGAGCAGTCTGTGGAGGGGACGTACACACAGCAGCAGCCACCCCCAGAAGTGAGCCCACAAGCAAGGGGGCAAGAGATTTAGGCATGCTGGGTTTGGGCGAAAGTGCTAAGAATAGCCGTGTTGACAGGAGACAGGGCTTTGGCGCCGCTGCTTGGTCTGGTGCTTTGGCGCTGATGCTTCGGCTACCGACCTCTGTGCAGGTTTTTTAGCCTAGCCGTGCGAGCTGCCAACCAAGTCTCGGAGGCTCTCTGGCCGAGACTCAGCGTCCTTGTGGGTTGCCCAGGATGTCTGCAAGAGCCAGTGAAAAGGTGACGCTAAAGGGGAAAATTTCAGAAGCCACGAAGGCCCAGCCGTGTCTAAATGCCTCGGGGGATCCGGAGCCAAGTGACTCTGGAATCCAAACCCCATTGATTGACAGTGCAATTTGGAATCTTAACTCACAGCTGGTTCTGAACTTGTGATCCTCGGGGCTCTTTTAAAAACGACCCTCCAGGCTGGTGGCGTGGACCACGCTTTCCCGGCCAAAAGAGGCGTGTTTGCGCAGTAGCTAGCGGGCGGTAAGCCCCAGCGGACTGAAGGCGCTGCAGATGTGCCGGTGATTTAGCTAGTGAGCATCAACGCAGGTGTGTTGCTCTACGGTTAAACTTCACTAGTTCCCCCCCGGTTAAAACCTGCCTGTGATTGTCTCCCTCGAGGGTTTGCACTGTGCGCACGCCTCGTTTGGCAGCGAGAAAAGCCTGTGGCGCTAGGTGTAAAAACACAACTTTTTTGTTTTTTGCCGTGGAGTTGTAGGCAAAGATTTCGTTTTCCAGTGAAAACAAACTGGTTGCCCTGGAGAGGCCGTTTGCAGCCCAGGCCTTGCAGCCGTGGGCTGCTGCCTGGACGCCAGGGAGTGAAACCGCCTAGGAACCCACAGGCAGAGCTGACTAACCCCCCGCATGTGTCTGTTCCTTTCGCCTCCCTCCCCCGGTCAGAAATGGAGGAAGTTCTGGGCCGTGCTGTACCGGGAGACCCCCTGCTCCTGCGCCTACCTGGAGCTCTACGAGGGCTCCGGGCCCCCCGCCCCCGAGAAGCCCAAGAAAGCAGAGAGCGGCAAGAAGCTCATTAAGCTGAGTAACTGCGTGCACGTGTCTGAGGCGAACGGGGACACCAGCAGCCCCAAGGAGACTGTCCCCTTCATCCTGGAGCGAACGCCCCTTGTGTCACGTGTCCTGGCTTTACGTGCGATCACTTTTGCAATGTTGGTAGGAAAAAACCCCCACGTGGACAGAAACCAGCCGAATCCGGCACCCGTGCATGTGAGCAACGGTAAACAAAATGTCTCATGGGCCAGCCATAGAATCCTGATAGGCCACGTGCTATCTGTCTGTCTGCCCAGCTGTCTGTCCCCACACTCTATCTAGCTATGGATTTTACCCTGCTGCCCAGTGCCTTCTGCATACAATCACTAGTAAAGTCTCTCATAGAGATGTAGCCGTGTTAGTCTGGTCTTGCTGAAACAAAAGACAGGGCTATGCAGCACTTTAAAGACCAGCAAGATGGTTTATGAGGGGATGAGCTTTCGTGGGCCAGACCCGCTTCCACGGATCAAATTGTGGAAGACAATTGGCACGACCATAGATACCAAAGGGATACAATAAAAAAACCGTGAACACATATAAAATAGACAAATCAGATTTTAGAATGGGGGTGCGTGTGTGAGGGGGAGGTTAGTGTCTATGAGATAATGATATTAGGGGTGATAATTGGGGAAGTTGCAGACTTTGTGGAGTCTCTGAGCCTTCAGGTTAACTTGACCTGCACCAACCTAACAGAAAGTCTGAATGAAAAGCGCCATTGGTATTTCTTGCCCAGCATGTGTGTTCAGAGCAGTCTGTGGAGGGGACGTACACACAGCAGCAGCCACCCCCAGAAGTGAGCCCACAAGCAAGGGGGCAAGAGATTTAGGCATGCTGGGTTTGGGCGAAAGTGCTAAGAATAGCCGTGTTGACAGGAGACAGGGCTTTGGCGCCGCTGCTTGGTCTGGTGCTTTGGCGCTGATGCTTCGGCTACCGACCTCTGTGCAGGTTTTTTAGCCTAGCCGTGCGAGCTGCCAACCAAGTCTCGGAGGCTCTCTGGCCGAGACTCAGCGTCCTTGTGGGTTGCCCAGGATGTCTGCAAGAGCCAGTGAAAAGGTGACGCTAAAGGGGAAAATTTCAGAAGCCACGAAGGCCCAGCCGTGTCTAAATGCCTCGGGGGATCCGGAGCCAAGTGACTCTGGAATCCAAACCCCATTGATTGACAGTGCAATTTGGAATCTTAACTCACAGCTGGTTCTGAACTTGTGATCCTCGGGGCTCTTTTAAAAACGACCCTCCAGGCTGGTGGCGTGGACCACGCTTTCCCGGCCAAAAGAGGCGTGTTTGCGCAGTAGCTAGCGGGCGGTAAGCCCCAGCGGACTGAAGGCGCTGCAGATGTGCCGGTGATTTAGCTAGTGAGCATCAACGCAGGTGTGTTGCTCTACGGTTAAACTTCACTAGTTCCCCCCCGGTTAAAACCTGCCTGTGATTGTCTCCCTCGAGGGTTTGCACTGTGCGCACGCCTCGTTTGGCAGCGAGAAAAGCCTGTGGCGCTAGGTGTAAAAACACAACTTTTTTGTTTTTTGCCGTGGAGTTGTAGGCAAAGATTTCGTTTTCCAGTGAAAACAAACTGGTTGCCCTGGAGAGGCCGTTTGCAGCCCAGGCCTTGCAGCCGTGGGCTGCTGCCTGGACGCCAGGGAGTGAAACCGCCTAGGAACCCACAGGCAGAGCTGACTAACCCCCCGCATGTGTCTGTTCCTTTCGCCTCCCTCCCCCGGTCAGAAATGGAGGAAGTTCTGGGCCGTGCTGTACCGGGAGACCCCCTGCTCCTGCGCCTACCTGGAGCTCTACGAGGGCTCCGGGCCCCCCGCCCCCGAGAAGCCCAAGAAAGCAGAGAGCGGCAAGAAGCTCATTAAGCTGAGTAACTGCGTGCACGTGTCTGAGGCGAACGGGGACACCAGCAGCCCCAAGGAGACTGTCCCCTTCATCCTGGAGACCACGGACAAGCGCTACCTGCTGGCCACGGACAGCACCGAGGTGGCCCATTGGGTTGGCGCCCTCTGTGAGGTGGCCTTCGCGGTGAGTGTGCTGGTGGGGGGCGAGGACTTAAAGCGACTGGGACTTTTCAGTTTAGAAAAGAGGAGACTGAGGGGGGATAGGATAGAGGTCTATAAAATCATGAGTGGGGTGGAGAGGGAGGATAAAGAAAAGTTATTTATTAGTTCCCTAAATAGAAGAACTAGAGGACACCAAATGAAATTAATGGGTAGCAGGTTTAAAATGAATAAAAGAAAGTTCTTCTTCACACAGCGTGTTGTCAACCTGTGGAACTCCTTGCCAGAGGAGGCTGTGAAGGCTAGGACTAGAACAGAGTTTAAAGAGAAGCTAGATAATTTCGTGGAGGTTAGGTCCATAAAAGGCTATTAGCCAGGGGATAAAATGGTGCCCTTGGCCTCTGTTTGTCAGAGGCTGGAGAGGGATGGCAGGAGACAAATTGCTTGATCATTGTCTTCGGTCCACCCTCTCTGGGGCACCTGGTGCTGGCCACTGTTGGCAGACAGGATACTGGGCTAGATGGACCTTTGGTCTGACCCAGTACGGCCGTTCTTATGTTCTTATGTTTTTATGAGGAGGGGCCCTGAGGGGCGAGGGGAGGCCATGGATCTGGGGGGAGGCCTTCAGGGGGGTGGAAGGATGGAGCAGTGACTGTCTAGGGGGTTGCAGGCCCCGGGGAGGTCGGTGCTCCAAGAACCGAGGCTCCCGTGGAGTTGGGCGTGGCAAGATGGCCGCTGAAGTGTCCCCATGGTCCTCTCTCAGGCTGGCTCGGGGGTCCTCTCGTCCCTTCCCAGGGCAACTGGAGCTCAGTGCTGGGGTGGAGACGCTCCATAGGCTCCGATCACCCGCACTCACCCCCTGCTCTTCCTTGGCGTTCCAGAGGAGCCGGGAGGAGCGGAAGGCGCCCGCGGGGAAGGATGGTCAACTGGGCTTGCTAGCCATGGAGGAGAACTCCCTCTACAGCTCCACGATCAAAGGTAAGGCGGCAACGGGCGCCCCGCGCTCTGATAGACCAGTGGAGGGCACCCTGCCACCCCCGGGCCGCACGCAGCCCCTCAGGGCTCCACTCCGGGCCAGCGAGACATTTTGTTGCCCACGCGCAGGGCAGATTCTGCTGGTTTCCGGCCACGTCGTTTTTTTTCCTACCGGTGTTCTTAAAGTGACAGGCACGTCCAGCCCAGGCAGGTGAAGGGAGGGGTGTGCGGATCACACACAGCACTGACTGTGAGAGCCGGGCGCCCCCTCTGCAGCCAGGCCCAGCGCTGCCACCGGGCCAGCGAGACATTTTGTTGCCCACGCGCAGGGCAGATTCTGCTGGTTTCCGGCCACGTCGTTTTTTTTCCTACCGGTGTTCTTAAAGTGACAGGCACGTCCAGCCCAGGCAGGTGAAGGGAGGGGTGTGCGGATCACACACAGCACTGACTGTGAGAGCCGGGCGCCCCCTCTGCAGCCAGGCCCAGCGCTGCCACGGTTCAGTTGGCCGGCGCCCTGCACATTCTAGGGACGCCGGCGCTGTGAGCAAAACCCCCCATCTCCAGAGACTGTCTTGATTACCAGGAACTTGCCGGAGGTGTTCCCCACTGCTCCCTTTGACCGAACGCCGTCATTGGGAGCACTGGGAGGCGGTGCTCCCCCAAACCCC